AATCAGTGGTGTGTATGAGCAGAATCGAATTTGAATATATTGATGCTTACTGAGTCTTTTGTTCTCATTGCTATATTTATTACGATGAATTTTTATCACATTGATGGTAAGTATTTACCAAAGGGATTTACTTTTATTTTTTATGTAAATAATAAATTAATATCATTTCTATATATAGGTGACTCTGTTCCATGTTCTAATCGTGAACATTCACCATTATGTTTTTGTCGATCATCATATCGACGTTCCTTATTAACGGATTTATTTATTTCTAAAATATCTCTTTCTCAATGTGCTACTTCGTATTCTAGTAGACAATGTCGTCAAGGCCGGTTATCTCCGTCGTCAACACATGTCACTCAACTTGTACCAAATCTAGTTAATTATAGCCATTGTTTAGAAGATGCACATTGTCTTCATACCCTAAATAATACACAACGTTGTCAACGATGTCAAATAACGCCTTCATCGTTACTGACAGAAAATATTTCTTATATTATTAGTACAACAACAAATCATCTTCCAACAGATTCATGTTTTTATATTTGTGAACATGATAAATCATGTGGATTTTTATGTTTTGATCGTCGTATAACAGTAACAATCAATTGTAATATATGTCGAGGACGTAGACGCAATGTTACATGTCGGTAGGTCTTTAAAATCATGTCTCTATAGAAATTAATTAACATAACTAAATAATTTAATTTATATATTTATTTTTCAATAGTTGTATTAATACCAAACAACCTCAATCATGTCTTCGATTGACAACTGAAACAACAACTCCACGTTGGATGCAAAAACGTGGTTTTCCAGCTGCTGGAATTCTTGCATTAATGGTTTTAGCTACTGCTTTATTAATAATTATCATAAAACTTATCACTCGTCAATTAGATTTGTTAGCTGGACGTAATACTAAAACTCGTCGTCGTTCAATAACAACAATGACAACATATAGAAGTCGACAACCATCACCTTCAACAGCAATTAGTTATCCAAATACACCACTTATTCCTTCTGTACAATCACGGAAAGATATCGTTACGGCTAATACAATGGTTGAATTATTAAATGATAAATCACGAGAATATGTTGTAGATATTCATCAACGTACTAATGCTGATGATTTAGGTGTTTTTTTCTTAAAAAGGACTTCACCATTAAATCCCAAGTCAAAAGAAATAATCAATGTCAATGTTGGCAATGAAGAACGAGAAGCTCGAATTTGATTTTTTTTTGCTTGTTTTTGTTTTGTTTTTGATATCTGATTAACTGTGATGTTTCATTGAGTATGAGATAAAAAAGAAAAACTTTTTGAATGATAAAAACTTCTTCATGAATCTATTGATAAGCAAAATGTTTGATTAATTGTAAGTTGATCGCATAGATTTTATTTCAGACGATGAACAAAAAAATTCTAATTAAATAATAGAAAAGAAAATATTATCTTGACACGTACCCGAATGACATATTTGCTCATTAACTGAAATATGAGTCTATTCTAATGCATCATAACTAATAAATACACGAGACACTCAAACACAACAGTTATCCAATTAAAATCTTTGTTAAACTTACCAGTAGAAAATTACTATTCTTAATTTGTTGCATATTATTTAATGCAGAAAACTATTCATCATGTACTATTTTCGATGCTAAGAATAACAAAACCTATTGGAATTTCATTTTTATCATAAATTTTGATATATTGTATTGAATAATTTCTTATAATTATTTAAATAAATAGTAATTTACTTTTCAAAAAAAAAACAGATTAGACTCATTAATATAAACTTGAATAATATAAATATTTAATGGACATTGTAGATTATCTCAAATAACAACTTTTTAATTAGAAATAAATAATTTATTCTAAAATAGATTTTTCTCTAGTTCTCTATCATGGAAAAAAAAAAGTCATAAATCAATATCTTTGTTTTTTTTTCCTGAATATTATATATAGTACTACTTATTGAATACCAAATTTGGATGATCAAGTTGCAGAATGAAGGAAGCATTCTTAATGAGATTTTGCCGATTACCCTATAGAAATACAGCTGAATAAACTTATTGTTGTACTTTATAACTTATACGTTTTAGAATATATTTTACAGATCTTATTGTTTGATGATTTTTTAATTAACATTCAAATACATCGGCACATTTTACACTATGATAAACAAATAAAAGAATTCAAAAGAAAAAATACTGAAATATTATTAATTAATAATTTCATTGAAAATATAAATATCTTCAAATTTGTATTTTCATTGTCTATAGTAATTAAAAGAAAAAAGACTTCGAGATTTTTATGAATGTCGAAAAATAAAGAACTATTCAAAATTCATGTTTTATTGTATGACAATGTCTATTGTCAAAAGTTTAACTAGGAATAAATCCTATACAATAAAATCAAAAATAAAAGTTGTAAAAAGTAGAATTTTATTTGTTTGATATTGATGTATTGTAGATAAATTTAAGTCGTATTGATTTTTTTTTATTTTCCTAATTGTTGTATTATCGAAATATACATAAACGATCATACACAAGAAAAGAATTACAGGATAGCAACGGAAGAATTTATTTAAACCGGAATGTTCCCTTTTGTTTACCATCTTACTTGCCCTTTATATTCTTCTTTTAATGAAATTCGTTTAACTGTTTCATAACCAAATATAATAAATAATGAATAAACACATGAATGAGAAAGACGAGCTGTTAAACCTTTTGTAAATACTTTAAAACGTTCTTCTTGCCATAATTCATGCATTATTTGCATGACTTTTCGTCGTTCTTGTTCAACTTGTATACGTGTACGACATACATCAAGTGGATTTGTAAGTAATGTCGATGTAAGAGAAGATAATGGACCAGCAATACATTGAATTACAAGTAATGGTAATGGGAATAAATTAGCTGAAACAAAAAAAAAAATAAAAAAATAAACATGAATATACATTTGAATATGACAAAAAATTTCTTTTGCTTCTAAACAATGTTATGACTATAACGTAATTAAAAATTATCAACACACAAAATGTCTTCAAATAAACATATTAGACTTACGAAATCTAGCTTCAATATTGAGCATTTGTCTTTGATAAAAATAATATGATGGCCACCAAATTGCACTAGTTAAACTGAATAAAAATGTTGAAATAAAATATCCACGATAAAAACCTTTTAAACTCAGGCGAGGTTTATGATTATTAGATTCATTTTCATAGAGTACTATTTTACATATATGTTTAAATATTAAATAATTACTATTACGAATTTCTTTTGGTACATGTATACGACGAATTTGTCGGCGTGTTATATTTGCTTCTGTTACTGTTGTATCTGATACAGATGTTATACCATCTTTAGTACGAATTTTTTTTCCTGGTGATGTTAAACCAACTAATTGCATATGTTGAGATATAATATCAATTGGACAAGCAAGTATTTGTGCTACTAATGAAGCTGTTGAACCAGCAAAACCAGCACGTAAATATTCATTTTTAGTTAAAATATTGGCATGTGAACGTGTGGCTTCAAATGTTGTTATATAAATTAAACCAGGTACTAATTGAAAATTATAAACAAGAAAACCTTTATACAATGAACGAAAACCTTCATAATGAACAGTTGTTGTTAATGCATCCCATGTTCCTTTATAAATTGATGATTGTACTTGTACTTGTAAACGTGTACGAACAAGTGTAAATGGATAAAGAAGTGAACGAACAGTAAATGTCGATAGAAGATTTAAAGGAACATATCGGCTTTTATTAAGCATCGGCCAATCAATATCATGTATTATCCTTGGATCATCGCTTTCAGACATGAAGTGCTTAAAAATAAATAAATAGAGATTCATTCATTTTAAGAGTTGATTTTATCAGAAAAATTTTTATGTTCTATTCAGAATCTATTTAATCATTAACACCAACAACCAAACTAATACAAAATGAAACATTCAAATATAACAACCTGTATAAGTTTTGTTTTTTTATATAGAACATGAAATAAATGAAAAAATTCCTATTAGAAGAACTTGACGATTTTACAAATAACAAACAAAACGAAAATACGTTTAATTTACAAAAATACAAAAAAATTATTTTGATGATGATAATATTTGATTTATTGGTGTTGCTCGTTGCTGAAGAATTTTTTGTACTAAACCTTGACTGGCCATATATAATAATTGAAAACGTTTCGCCATTGTTGTTGTTGGATTTGTTTGAATATACGCATATAATTTTTTATTAAGATCAATTAATACATTATATAAATAATCTCGTACATTTGGATGTGATAAATCAAGACAAATCAATGCTTCATATAAATAACTAAATATGAAAAATAAAAATAGAATAGATGATGGTGATGATGATTTAAAAATAAATAATTTACCTATATTTTAATTCTTGATGTGTATTTAAATCAGCTGCAAGTTGTTGAATTAAAGAAAGAATAACTGGAATTTGTAATGGACATGGTTGCATTGAAAATAATTCAGATGGACGGATATTTTCACATAGATATAAAACAAGATTTAAATCAGATGCCGATAAAACATATTCAAATGCTTGATTTAATTGGCCAGAATGAACAAATTTCAATGCAGTTTGTTGTTTAATATCAGTTGTTGAAGTTTTATTTGTTAGATTAGATGATGCAACAGTAGCTACTGGAGTTGTTGCTTGACTAACTGCTGATTGTGGTTTTGGTGTAATTGTTCTTTGTTGTTGTTGTTGTTGTTGTTGTTGTTGTTGTTGTTGACGAAGATGTTGAATAATTAAAGTATTTATTTCATTCTTTTGTGTAACTAATAATTCACGTAAAATATTTGTGATTTCATCACGAATAATTGATTGTATCATCTCTCGAACTCTATTAATCAAAGAAAAAAAAAGCTTTTAGCATAATCCCTGCAGGATTAAAATATAAAACACGATGTAGCTGGTGTTGCTAATTAGAGGAAGATTTTTTTGCATTCTATCTATTTTGGAATACAATTCTTCATCATTCTTTTACTTAATCTTCCAGAAATCAAATAAGAAAGTAGTTCATATATTAGAACAAGATGTTATTGATATACAGACTATGGTTATATATTAATAATATTTGTCACGTCTGTATTGGCTAGAGCCCCGCCGCATCAGAGTTGGCGTTGATGTAAGTTATACAAACTCCGAAGATCTTGTTTCATTCTTTTCTTATATAGCATTTATTTTTGATGATTTTAATGTTAAGTAACCGAAAACTGTCAAGTCAATAGTGAGGCAATATGAAATAGAAAAGAAAACGCAAGAAAATATCTACACTAGATCAAGTTTCACAAGTGATTATTGCAAAAAAAAAGAAAGATCAATGCCATTGAATATCTCCGATTTCATCATTAGATGTATTTGCATTATGTTCACGTTGCCTTAAGAAGATTCCACTTCTCTTTTTTTGACCGTTGCTGATTCTCAAAGATCTTGATTTTCCGTAGGATCACATCGAATCTGTTTACGACCTTTCTCTAGCTTTGTCCAATCAATCTGAGATTTTGATCACAGATATCTGTAAGTATTTTCCAGAGATAAAATCGGCCGGTTTCGTTGTTGACGTTCCTATCCGGATTTATAGAGTTCCGAACGTCAGTACTCCATTTTTGGATCCGAATCTTTACGTATTTCTCTCATAAAAAACAAAGAAACCGAAATTTTTCAAAAAATATAGAATCATCTCTGAGACGTAGTCTAAGGTATCTTCAAAGAAAAACAACTTTCAGTCTGTAAGTGGATCCGATATAGTCCTATGGAAAACTCACAAAAACCTTGTTTAAAGCTTTTTTCTTCGAACACTCGTCTCCTTATTTTAGATACTCTATTTGTGAGAGAAATTTCATACGAATCTATGGTACTCTATTCGAGAACCAGAATTAACTAATTTACGAGAAAAAAATTCGGGGTTAAAAGATCACTCGTTACTAAGATGTGTGTGAGGGGTCCAGATTTCTACCTCTATACTTCAATACTGCTTTTAGATCGTGTTTCACAAAAAAAAATAATAAAGTTTTAGTTTAATGATATAATCTTACAAAGGTGTAAGATTTGTTGTCATATATTGAGTAATTTCATTTTGAAGCATATTTATTAATTCTTGATTTTTCTTTTCAAATTCTTTTAATAATTGTGTTGATTCTTTACGTATTTCAGTCATCATTTGTTCACGTTGTTGAATTAATGAACGTTGTTGTTGACGACCATATTCGATCATTTCTTGTAAATCTATATATTATAATTGTTTATTTATTTGAAACAAATATATAAATTATATATTACATTCTTTTGTACCACGTTTAAATACATCATTTGTTTGTTGAAACATATTTGTTGCAGCTTTTTCAAATGATGGTATAACAATTTGATTAAATGTATCACGATAGGATGTGATCATTGTTGTTTGAATTGCATTTGCTACGGCATTACTTAATGAATCAATCATCGTCTAATATTAATTACATAAAATATAACATAAGAAAAAGAAAAATAAAAAAAAAATTAGTGAATAAAACCTTTGAACGAAATATTTGTGTTATTGTTTGTTTAATAACTGTATCAGTAGCTAATAATTTTGCAGCTAACTCTTTATGTAAATTATCTTTTAAATCTCGATATGGTTCAAATACAGATTTCATTGCTATAATGAAAAAAAAATTTTTTTTTTATGGATGAAATATTATTTGTTTTTCATACCTGCTTGTACATATGTTTGAATTTTTTCTATAAGTATAGTTTCTAATCGATCATAATGTGCATCGGTTAAAGTTAGTTCGGGTTCATTTGTTGTTATTATATCAATTGGTGCTGTGCTAGGACTTGGCCGACTTGGTCGAGAAGTGACAACTAAGGATAAATGAAAATTGAAATTCAAAAAATTTATCATCTCGTACGCTTATTCTTTCAAGATACTTGTAATGGCAATATATGGACAATCCTGGAGAAAAGTAGTCGCTCGTTATAAAATGTCACTATTCTTTATTATACTGAATTGATACTTTGAATGCATGCGTGTGGTAATAAACCCTGATCACAAGCATCAACTTGCTCTCCATTAACTCACATGTACTAGAGTTTTGATTCGTACATTGTCTTTCTCTTGTAAAAAAGGATATATTCAGCAGAAATATACACTGGAAAGGATTTGATTGGTGATTTTGCTATTCCACAAATTATTACTGTTTTTTTTTCTACCGCTAAAGGTACTCCTTATATGTGTATTTTATTATCATCAAAGATCGTGATACGTAGTCAAGATCTTTATATGATAAAAATCATAAACTATTGTTCATAGAAAAGTTAATTATGATTTTATTATTGAAATTTAACTGAAAACAGAAAAATATATGATTCCGTTACTAACAAAACCCTAGGGAAAAGAAGTTTTATCATAGAACACAATTGAATTTGTTTTGTCATTTTATCTCTCATGAGAATTTGATTGATGAAGAAAAGATAAACATAAGCAAAATGAGATTTTTATTCATTCTAAACAAACTATATTCTCTTTAGTATCTAATGAATGGTCTATTATTCGAATGATTTTTTTTTTTACTAAAATACCAGTTTGTTCGAGATTAATCAATCTATCAACTTTGCTTGTTAATTGTTCGAGACGTTGACAACATCGTTCAAGTTTTTCATCATATGCTGGTTGATATGTTGTTTGTGAAATAGGTTCAGACGATAGATTTGTTACATGTGAACGATGTTGATTTAATTGATGAGTTAATTCACGAATAGCATGCAATGCCTTGACAATAAAAAAAAACAAGTCTATAACAAAACAGAATAAAATCTTTTTATTCTACTAACATCAACATTTAACGGTATTTGAGAACTATTTGGTGACCGTCCACTACGACGTTTTACACGTGAATGTAATAAATCTTCTTCATCAGCTGTTGAATCATCATCTCTATCACTTTATTAGAAAAAAAAAAAGAAATTCAATAAAATAATATTATATATTTTATATAAACTTTACCTTGTTTCTCCTGGATCACTAAAGTCATCCAAAACTTGATGACTTGATGTTTTTAATCCTCTAAATAAATAAACAACAATGAATTTTAAAGAAGAAAATACGAAATATGAATCGTCCTACTTCATTGGACTTTCACCTCCGGAATGGCATGATTTTGACCAAAGTGAATCATCACGATATTTCGATGGTGATACAAGTGGATCTTGATTATCATTAATCTATTAAACAAATAAACAAACAAACAATTACAATTATTTTCTTTTTAAATTTTACTTGTTCATCATCATCATGTGTTTTAATTGGCATAAAAACTATATCACCATTTTCATTATCATCTTCATCATTTGGTACTGATATACAAAAAAAGGTTGAAGAATAAAATAATATATAAAAAACAACCAAGAAACTAATGGCATACATGCTTCAAATTGAAGTGAATAATTGGTTGTATGTGAGAGACTTTCAGCTACCTCTTTATCATCTTGATCAAATGGTGATTGTGAAATATCTAAATATTTATTTGATGTATTCAAATTCATTGTAAAGCCATTTTTTAATTAATAAATTTAATTATTAATTAAAATCAATAGAAAATTTTTATATGCATTCAAAAGATATGCCAAGAAATTTTTCTATATCTTCAACGGCAAGATTTCATTACATATAGATATTTAGCAATCATCGATCATAAATACTCCAGGTAAAAAGAAAAAGAACAAAAAACTTTGTTTTTTCTTTCTCTTGTGTTTAGTATGTGTGCAAAATGCATGCAGCAGTCTCGTTCGCATGCTGCAATTAATGTTATACTTTCAACAAAAAACACCGCGTTATTCTTCTTTTTTTTTCTTATTCACTATATTCTCTTACGAGTATGTATAATTTAAAATGATGCTTTAGTGTTTTTTGCTTGGAGTTAATAGATTAGTGATTGTCACTAAGATAGATACAGTAATACACCTACTGTTAATAAGTAACGATGAAGAATCATTTTCTGTGTTGCCTTTTGTTTGAAATAAGTCATTCATGCGATTACAAGGACTTGTAGTTACAGCTACAGTTGATTGTTGTTGTTGTTGTTGTTGTTGTTGCTGTGAAGGTGAGATATGTGTGCAATGCTCTTGTTGTTGAGTATTTATTGCATCAAATGCTGTTGTATTACCAAGTAAGAGGCCATGTAGAGGATCAATTTTTGGTAATGTATTGTTTACACTTGATGATGGTGAAATTGTATGAGTAGTATTATTGATGTTAGCTGTCAGACTATCATGACCAGCAAGTAAAGAACGTGTTGTATCACCATTTGGTAAACTTGTTATATTAGTTAATGAACTATTTGGAGTAATCAGATCATCTATATTATATCTAAAATAGATTAAGATCATATTAAATTAAATAAATACATGCAAAAAAGATCTCACGGTGGAAGTGCCATAAGTTCACTGGCAATTGGCAGTATATGATTAGTGGTAGTAGTGGTATTATTTGAAGGTAATGGTAAGTCACCACTAAATAAATGTGACATGTAGAATTCGAAGCAAAAATCTAAAACGGATTCCCAATCGAATGTTTAACTAATTGAATTTTTCCAAATCCTTGTAACATCAAGTTTTTAATTATAATCACTGCCATTAATCAAAGGCAATTATTTTGTATTCAACTATCTATTTAGAATAACGAAGAAGTATCGTATTCATTTTAGACATATTCGATTTTGAATGTCAGGTGATGGAAAAAAGTTTAACAACAACGTATTTTTCATTGTTTTTTTTTTGTATAAATAATTTCATCGATGAACTATGAGTGGCAAAGTTTCTAAAAAAATTGAATACGAGAGTTTTCAAGTCCCAGAAGACTTTGTCGGAGCTATTTTTTAACAATACTATTTTAAAGAGCACAAAATTTTGAACAAAGTGAGGTATCGCTGCATATTTTATGACTTTCCCTTAAAAAGTTAAAAGTATTAAAAAAATTGAAAAAAGGCGGTTTTTTTTTATAGTTGATTTTTTGATAAATTCCGTTCTTTTTTGGTTTTTGTGATGTTTTAACATTTTAAGAAAAGTTCGTAGAATACGCGACAACTCCTCATTTTATTCAGAATTTTGTGGTCTTTAAAATAGTATTATTAAAAAATAGCTCTGACAAAGTCTTCTGATACCTAAATACTACCGTGTCCATTTTTTCAGAAACTTTGCCATCCATAGTTCATCTATGAAATCTTGATGTAGAATGCATTAGATACAAAACTCTATTAGCAATTAAAATCATTATCTGAATTTGTGATAATTGTTTAACATCATAGAAAAAAAAATACGATGTTATTAAATTTTTTCGACCATCTTTTATTTCAGATATGTTTTCAAGAAAGTTTATTAAATATTCTGTTATTTTGAATTTCAATAATAATAATAATGCTTTCTTTTTTTTTTATACCTTTGACAAGATTTTCTGCTAAAGCATAATTCTATTGTTTTTCAAATGATAAGATATTCGTTATAAATTCTGGATAAAAATTATTGTTAAAAGCAACGATAATAAGATTGAAACTATTAAAGGACTTGTTTTAGTAACAAGTAAAACTTGATGAAAAAAAATCTAGAAAATAAATAAAATTGTAATAAAATCTATTTTTCACACAACAAACAAGTAAAATTCTTTTTCTAGAAATATATTTTCTATAGTTAAGCTTTATAAATATTATAACATTTAAAACTATGCGTTCATATTAATATCGAATAGTGAAAGATTTTTGATACCAAATTGAACAACAATTTATCATTTCATACAGTAGTCTTAAGAAGCCTCGCTACCAGGTAAAAAATACATAAACTTTAATTCTTTTGCTTGATATTTTGACTAGAAACAAAGCTCGGTAAACTCTGATCGCAAGCAATAACCCAAGATCGATAGGTCTTAATGTAAAGAATTTACGATGAAAACAATGGTTTTTTTCTCTAGGATCCAAAAAAAAAAGAGTTTTTTGACACTTGTGATTTTTCACTATTTCAATGTGTTAACATCTACTTTATTATTAACAAAGAAAAATTCGCTTGTTTTTATTTTGTCACAAATAGGATACTTCAATCCGCTGTAATCTTGAGGCGTGGGTGAAATCTCCATTGTCTTGAATGGACTCAACATAGATCTCTTCTTCATTGGTGGTCGCGATCGTAAAATTTTCGGAAAAAACTTGATTTGAGTAGGACACTCATTGGGAAAAAGTTCAAGGCTAGTGATTAAAATTAGTCGAAGAGATCGATTACTTTTTCGACGATTCTCATAACTCTCATGTGAAGATTTTACCCAAAGATGACTTCATCAATCAGACAAATTAAAACCGTTTGGTATAGAGTTTTTATTGGTGATAGAGACAGCGTTGGGTTATTGAATGAGAAGTCTAACGTCATGAGATTTATTTTTCTGTGTTGACATATCCTCGTCTGCAGAAAAAAATCTATGTTGACCTTCTAGCTTCTCCACATTAAGACCAATCAATCCTGATTAGTTCTTGCAATCAGAGTTCAACATGCTCTATCCGTGATCGAACTATGAGACAAAAGGATTAAAGTATAGATAATATTTATCTGGTGGCAAGAGTTTTCGCTACTACTATAAATAATCATGAAAATGTTCTTTTTTTGCTATGCATGAAAAGTAATCTAATCTATTGATGTCATTAAAACTAGTGTCTCATATTGGATGCATATATTTGCACAGTTATCAATATTAATTTTAAAAAAAACACATGTTTCATTTTCATTTATTCGGTCTTCGAAAATATTTTACAAATAAATTTAAATTCGGATATGATTTATGACATTACGATCTTGATTAATAGATACAAAAAGAAAGACAAAACGGATATCCTCAGGAATGTAAATATGTATAATGATAAATATTATTCAAAACTGGTGAATTATCCATTAACGGGAAATTCAGTTGTTTACACACAATATTATTACCATTTTAGTAGAAAAAGACAAAATTATTTTTCTTCTGTTTTGAAATATTCGAAAAGAAAAATATTTATTGAACAAGTTTTATTTGTTATATAAAAGCAAGGTCTATTTTAATAGACAGAACTCATAGCATTGTGAATACCCCTTCTGCTTCTAAAAATTTTGTGTTTTTTCTTTTCGAGCAATGAAATAGAAAAGAAATTTTTGTCTAGAGATCTGCAGTGGGTACTAAAATTATTCAACAAGGCTTATTTTTCTGCTGCTATAAACGTTAGAAAGAATTTAAATAATAATAATTCCCATAGGGAAAATGATTTTCAACAAGAATATAAGGAAATGAAAATTACTATTTCAGGAAAAAAAAAACCCTCGAATGCGTAAATATGATTCATTCTACTTTGGTCGAAAGGCAAAAATGTCAAAAGATATAAAAGGTTGTAAATGATAGTGTATGGAAGGAGAAATACCTTTACCCTTAACCTCACTCTTACATCCATATTCTGATCCCTCGTTTCTTTTTTGACATTTTTATCTTTCGATCAAGGTAGAATTTACCGTAAATATAATTTTGTTTAGACTACATAGAATGATAGAACAAATAATTCTCTACAAAATGAGATGGCTTCAAATTCTTCACTACATTTTTTAGCTGAAATACAGCAATTTGATTGGAAGTCAAAAAGTGATTTTTTTTTATAGAAAAAAAAGTAGTAAAAAAAATTGACTCCGAGGGCTTTCATAAGGCTACTGTATCTCAGCCAAAAAACGTCGAAGATAACTTGAAGACGTCTTATTTTGTTCGCAATCATTTACTCTATCATTCTATGTAGTCTAAACCAAATTATCTTTACTTGTTTTAGGGACTGAAACATTAGGATTTTGATTTTCTAAAGTTCCTATCGTTGGGAATCTGATGATAGTTTTTATTTCCTTGTATGCCTTTTGGAAAGAATTTTCTCTACTCCAGTCACTGTTTGGATTCTTTCTAGTGCTCACGGCAGAAGAAAAAAAATGAAAATAAGCCTAGTTGAATAATTTTGGTACTCATTGTATATGAAAGAAGATGTTACAACAACTTTCTTTCGTTTTTCTAGAGGCTTAGGTACGCTCGTGAAATAAATAATAATCTACAATAACAGAAAAATTCTCTATTAATTAAGGCAACGTAGTAGAAATGAATCAGCTCGTTAAATTTTCTATCATAGAATTCAAAATAATAGATTGTTGACAAAATTCTATGTAGTCTTATTTTGTATCTAACATATTCAATATAGACTCGATAAACAAGACTAACAGTTGCATTAAAAAATCTATTATGGATATGAGATTAGATTGATATTTTTCAGTTTTCTACATCTACATAATTTTTGTTTTGATTCCATTGTCACATATCACAAGAAAAATCGATATACAGTTTATTTCTCACAAGAAAAATCGATATACAGTTTATTTCTCACATGAAAAATGTCTTATAATAGAGAACGGCAGCAGAGGGAGTTCAACTCTCCTAACTCGAAATCCTGCCTTCACCACCGTTGTTATTGTAACTTTAACAATAAATTTAAACATTTAGTCTTGTATAAATTATACAAAATGAATAATGTAAAGGTAAAAATGAAAGTGCTCAGTATTCTTGTCATAAGGTAAGAAATACAATATACCTAGTGAACGAAGTACTGAGACAAGTATTGGTATATTGTTTTGATGGAATGAAAAACGTTGTAAAAAAGATTGGTTTTGTTTTCGAGAGTTCCGATGGAATGAATTAATCTTCTTTGTCATTGTTTGTTTAACAATGATCTTTATTATTCCATGATAGAGATTGTCGTAGGTTTTTTTTGTTGAGTAGAATAAAACCATAGACAGAATAATATATGTAGCCATGGCAAGAAACCATTCGTAATTACACAAAGTTACAAACAGCGACAGAATAGAAAAGAAAGAGGAAAAAAGTGTCGGAAACAGACAACAACGACTTTGTTTTTCCTAGACATACAAAACATAAACTTTATTCTTCTGAATAGAACGTAAAAAAAATCTTATCATCTATCTCTGATAGAAAATATAACGATTATCGATTAATCTACATACTTGACTGATACCATCCATCTTCACTCTATTAGTAAGACTGTTTAATTGTATTATTATTTCAAAAGTTTTAAAACACAGTGACTTACATATTTATTTGGCTTTTTTTTTATAATGAAAATAATTGATTATTAAATATCATCTAAAACGATTACATATGTATAATTATCAACATTAACCTTTTTTCTCTTGAATTTTCTAGTTAATATATTCTAATATGCTTCAAACCGTAATGTCAATCAGATACAGGTGACTAATGAACACATAAAGAAAAAGAATAAATGAAACAACATTTTCATTCTTTTTTTCTTTTTATCGATTATCGTTTCTATGCAAAATAAAACATTCAGACGTACAAGAATAGAATTCTATCATTATTTTAACGATTAAAGTATGGATACAACTGTTATAAACGAAGAAGAACAACAACAATTAGTTCCTATACCTCCGTTATCACAAGAAAAAAATGTCACCGAAG